CAAGGTGTGTCCAAACCCTGAAAATCTTCTCTTGGGACCGACAGGAATAGGACCATTTCCTCCCTGTATGTCCTAGTGCACTTAGTTAGCCTCACGACCCCTGACCTCTGCCACCCTTGAGGTGGTCACACACCGTGGCCGCCAGGTTACAGGTTAAGCTTTCCTCTCTCCTCATACGGTCAAGTCCAGCAAGCACCTGGAGTTCCTCTTCCCGCAAATAAGGCATTCCCAGCACGCTCAGCCCAAAAAGCCTCTACCCACACCGCAAAGGTTTAAACAGCCTTTGTTCTAGTTAAGCCAGCCGCCTCACCGAAGCCTGCTTCTTGAACGCTCGCCATGCTCACCGATGCCTGGGATCTTCTCACCCCCGGAAGTTCCGGTCTCCAGCTTTTCTCCCGTCAGGCCATGGGGATCCACCAGCCGTGTCCTCACCAGGACGGGTGGAAAACGGAGCTCCAACACGCACAGCGATGCTGTGGCAGAGACCTTCAGCGTCATTTCCCCACTGGGAAAGCCTGTGCTTCCTCCGTGCCTCAGATGAACCGTCATGGATTTAGCTTGTCCTCTTTGATGGGCAGTTAGACGGTCTCGTCTATGAGTTGCTATGAGCAGACAGTGCTCCACTGTGCGAGCCTCGTTGCCGTTGACGGAAGCAAGTTAAAGGAGGGAGGGCTTGTCCTGGTGCATCATTTAATAAAGGGTGTCGGCTATTGGCGAGGAGACGTGGTCGTGCGAACACGAGGCAGCTGGTCTCACTGTATCCACGTGCAGGAAGCAAAGGGAGGTGGTTGCTGATGTCATGCTGGTTTCCTACTCCTCACTGTTTTCCTGAAATCCCAGCCATGGGCTCCCGCCGCCCATGTTCTTCCTTTCTCTGGAAACAAGTTCAGAGACACACTCAGAGGTGCCTCTTTTTAGGTGGTTTCCAACCCAGTGGAGTTGACAGTGTGACCATCACACCAACCTTTCACTATGGGCAACACATCGGACATCCCCCCCCTCTTTTTTTGGTAATTCTTTTATTGATTATTAGTGAATTTCACATCATGCAACCCAATTCCACAGATTTCCCAGTCTTTCCATTTCCACCCTCCACCCTTGTAACCTCCCCCAAAAGAAAAAACAAAACAGCAACAAAAACCCTTGGAAACTATGTCAAAAAACGTGTCCGCTTTTGGTTCACACATCATTACTTGCAAATGTTCATTGCAATGAATCACTGGTCTAATCCAAGGCTTCTGGCTTCTGCTATACCATTAATATTAGCCCCTCACTGAAACTCCTCATGGATATCCTGTTGTTGCACTGAGTCATGGCGATCCTGCAGCTTTGGTTCTGCAGGACTGTCCCCTTCAAGCACTCCAGAAGCTCATAGATGGGGTCGATGTTAGGGTGAGCCAGCTCAAAGCCCTGGATCTTGACTGGGATGTAACTGAGTTGGTCAACCTACCAGTTCTCCCATGCCCGTGCCACCAAGGCTAGCTCTCCTGCACTGCCCAGGTGAGGGTCAGGGCCAACATCAAACAATCTTAACTTAATATTTTTCCCCATATGTAGAGGAATGTTAATTCAGAACATGGCTATTCTGGCAAGAGATTACATCCAAAGACCTTCCAGGTCTGTGTGATTCAGCTGGAATATGAACACGTCTTTCATCCAAGAGATAGAGGCAAGCAGATCTTGAGTTCCAAGACTAGCCTGGTATAGAGCAAGTTTTAGGTAAAGAAAAGCTTAGGTCCAAGCATGGTGGTACATGCCTTTAATCCTAAACAATGAAAATAAAATTAGTTTGTAGATGGAAACACCAGTGTTTGAAAGTGAAGTCTACTTGAGTGGCAGGAAAAAGTGACAAATCAGAGAAAGAGTTGATAGAATAAGATACACCCAACTCTCTGGAGAAGAGAGAGGAATGGGAAGCTACTTAAGGGTCAATGTCAAGAAAAGAGAGGAGGTAGATTTTACCAGAACAGTAATAGACAGATTGCAAAAAGAGAACTCAGGTGAAGACCGAATGAACCAGAGAATGAGAAGGAGTCAGGAGATTAGAGCAGATTGCTGGAGTTAGTTGGAGGCCAAGCCGAGCAATTCAGAGGCTGAGAGAAAAGCCAGGTTGAATTATTTAGCTGGGAGAGGAGTTTGAGCCAGAACAGCTGAGTTGAACCAGCCAGCTATGAGCTCAGAAAGAACAAGAAAGGGTGAGCTTATTAAGCAGTAAGTCTGAGGCTGAAAACTGAAAACATAGGCCTATGTTGGATTGTATGGAGGCTAGACGTTTCCAGGACTAGGCCTAGAAGGAGGCAGTAAGCCTCGGAGACAACAATTGAAACAAGTAAATAAAAGTTGTGTTTACACCCACAGATGGATGAGTCTTTCTATAAGATAAATTTGTAGAAGAGGAATTAATGTATCAAAAAGATTGTCAAACTGTACTTGTTTGGGATTATAGGAATTCTGCTTGTAGGAGAAACAGAGAATCTTACAGAGGGAGGCAGGAAGCAGGCATCATATCCTCGTTCGATCGTGAGAGGTTACTGAGGAAGAGAGAAGCACAACATGAAATCTGTCTTAAGAGAAATTGCTTTCTGGATTGTTTTTCCGTGGACTTTGTCCTGAGACCTTTGGAGCCAAGAGAGGCCCAAACAAAACAGCTCTCTGAGATGCTTCATCCCTCACTCCTTAGAGAGAAAGAGAAGAGAGGTCATCTGTAACATAGCAGGATGGACGGTCTAAGGAGTAGCTCTGACTAGTGGAGACTTAGTAGCAGCTATTGTGGTTGTAGCCAGCAGTAACTGTACATCTGTGGGAGTGTGGCTATTAGAGACAGAGGCAGTGTGGCTGGTTGTACCATGCACAGCTGTAAGTACCTGCAGGGCAGTTCCAATCAAGCCTTGAAAAACGTGTGGAATTTTTAGAAGTCACTCCATCCTTGTGTGTATGTGTGTGTGTGTGTGTGTGTGTGTGTGTGTGTGTGTGTGTGTGTGTGGTGTGTTTGTTTGTTTGTAGTAGCAGAGAAGGCAAGAATTGGTAACCCAGAGAGTACCCAATTCATTCACAGGGTTCTTACCTTTTTTTTTTTTTTTCCACCTCTTTGATTCATTTCCTGGGGGTTGAGTTTTGCTTAACAGTGCCAAAATACAATTTTCTTCTTTGAGTCCATGTAACCCATCTCTAGCAAACCTGGGAGGTCATCATTTTTTGCCACCTGCCATTTGGTTTTCCTGTCATTTATTCCCTGCCCAGCAGAGTGCTGTCACAGTCATCATTGTCCTTGTTTAAGCAGACAGGCTTTGTTCTTCACCGTTGCTTCCCCTTTGCATTGTGTGGTGACAAAGCCTTGTGTATAATCAGAGTTGGGTCTTCTTTACCTTGTAAGGTCTGGGCTGGCTTCCTGCAGGGGAGTTTTGTTTCAGGTTCCACTGTGTCTTGCTTGTGCCATTCTGAATTCACACGGCTGTGATTCTGACATCACCAATTAATGTTAATGAAAGGCCTCCCAGATGCATGGCTGCATAAGACACTTATTTAATATTCTCTTTGTTTTAGATATCAGGTGGCTTCTTCAAATGAATTTTTAAGTATCTCGGTGATGAAGAATGGAGACATCAATTAGGGGCCAGGAAGACAAGCCTGCAGGAGAGGCTTGAAGGAAGGTATGAAAGGTTGATGTGAACATCCTAATGTTTTAAAGAGGTGTATTTTTTTTTTCAGTCAGAAAAAAAATGACAAAAGTAACAAGTAAATTCATTACTCCTGGAAGAACCCTGACAGCCTTCTCTCCAGACATCTGTCTGCCTTGATCATCTTTTCCTCTTCTTGCAGTTGTAGTTTTCAAAGCCAAGTCTGAAAATTCCTCCTGAACCTACCTGTTCTAATCATCTCTACCCTCAGGGTCAACTCTCTGATTCTAACTTTTCATTCATGCTTCTCATTTGGAAAGTGAGCCCTGGACGCAGTATACTATCATTGACTAAATATATGTACCTCCTTTTCAAGTATGTCTGGGCAGTTTCTTCCCTGAGTTTTAGTTTTGTTAAGAAGTATTTATGATGATGGGCAATAGCCCATCAAAATCAAACAAAATTTTAATGTATTTTTTTTTTTCTCTCCAAGACTGGGTTTCTCTGTGTAGCCTTGACCACCCTGGAACTAACTCTGTAGACCAGGCTGCCCCAGAACTCACAGAGATCCCCTTGCCTTTGCCTCCTCAGAGCTGGGGATTGGTGGCACTCACCTTTAATCCCAGCACTGGGTTAGGCAGAGCCAGGAGGATCTCTGTGAGTTCAGGGCCAGCCTGGTCTACGAAGGAAATTTTATTTTTTAAAAAAGGATGAGAGGAGAAAAAAGGTCCAAGGACTGGCAGCTGCGATTCACAAACATGTTTTTCTTTTTCCTCTCTCACGCCCCCGGTATGAGCTTTTATTTTATTTTTTTTCTTCTCTGAAGGGGGTCAGAGGGTGAAAGAAGAACATCATTAAAAGAAGACAGCAGCTGCCTTTGCGGTCTTCCTGGAACTTTATTTCAATCTGTCTACATCGGATGAGCTTTTGGACCTCTTCTTTTGGAGCCGAGGCTAGGATGACGCTTCCGTCAAGCAGGCATTCAGCCAGGTACTCCTGGACCATTTCCTTTAGGAAAAAGACACTCTGGGTTCCGTCGTGCATTCTGGAATGCCAGGCACGACTTCGCTTTGTGTGACGTCAGGGACCTGGAACCGGCGAGGCGGGCTCCGTCGGCTTTCGGCCACCCGCACTCGCCCCGCAGCCGCCTCCAGGACAAAGCTCCCGCGGGCCCCGCCCACCGCAGCTCCCGGGCCCTCATTGGCCGGCTCTCCGCCCGCCCTCAGGGAGCGGGGCGCTGCCCTTCCGAGCGCTGGTTGGTCTAATCGTAATGACGGTAAGGGCTGCCATTCGTCTTCAGGTCTCGAAAATGGGCGGAGCGAGCCAGGAGGGCGTGGCGGGAGGGCGGCGCGGAGTGCGCCGGCGCGTAGTCGGGGACGCCGAGTCCGGGATCCTGCTAGGGAACCAGTGTTGTCGCCCCGCCCCCTCGGGGCTTTTAGTCCCGTTAACCGTCGGCGGGGCTGGGTCCGCAGCGCAGGACGACATGCCGGTGCGCTTCAAGGTGAGGCCCGGCGCTCGGCGGCGGGTGGAGGGGACCCCTCTGGGGTGGGTGCGTGGCGCGCCGCTGCAGCGCCGAGCCTCCTGGCTGGAGCCTGTGCGGGGCCGAGGATGCTCCGGCCCGTGGCCCGGCGCGGCGGTGTGGGCGTGGGAGAGTTCGACGGGGACCTGACGGCAGCAATCTGGTGCGGAGGCGGAGGGAGGGCGCTGGACAGTGGGACGAAAGGCTGCTTTCTGTGTAGGGCACCTGTGGTCCCTCTGACGTTTAGCATTCAGGCCCCCTTTCCCCGCAAAACTTTTAAAAGTACGCCTGTCGTCTAAAGGCTTGGGAATCGGCCCTCGGTACGAGGAGAGCGCGAGTAGGTATGCAGCTTGCATTCCTAGCAGTGCATCTGTTTTAGGGTTTGTTGACACTTCAGGTAGCTGTCTGCATCTAGCATCCTTTTGCGCAACAGGTGGCCATAATGTTGCAGTCACCCCCCCCCCCCCCGCCCCGTTAATTCTTAAGGGACAGAGTGGGAAGGGAACTTGTCTTTGTCTAATTGCCCTTTATTAAAAGGAACTAGGAGTACTCTATAATATTATGCTTTTGATAGGGAGCTAGGTTAAAACTGCAGTGATGAGGGCTTTTCATTTGCCACTACACTTCATCAGACGAGCTTTGGAATTAGGGAACCAGCTAAAGTGGAGCCTCCTTGAGTGTCAGACTCCTGCTTCTATGGGCCTCAGCTGGTTGTGAGGATTAAAGGGCTACTTAGCCCAGGGCTGGGTAAATATTAACCATTATTAAGGAGATTGTCTGCGTTTAATTCTCATTCTTAGGCCTTTCAACACTCTTTGGAGGCTGAGAAGATTTTTTTTTTTCCCCTTTTCTTTTCTTTTTTTTTTTTTTTCTTTCTGATGCCGGATTTTAAAACACTGTTCATCACACTGTGCTCAAATTGTACTTTGCATTTCAGGGGCTGACTGAATACCAGAGGAACTTTCTGTGGAAAAAGTCTTATTTGTCAGAGTCCTATAATCCCTCAGTGGCGCAAAAGTACTCATGGGCAGGACTTAGGTCGGATCAGTTAGGTAAGTTGAGCAAACCAATGGCCATTACAGCTTGAATAAACCTTGGGTTATGGTTACAAAACAATTAAAATCCACTGGTCTGGCTGACGCCATCGTGCAGTTGGCAAATGTGTATTGATGCTATCCTGTGATCTCAGACTCCCTTATGTACAGGAAAAAAAAAAAAGAAACTCCATTAATAAGGCATTTCAGGTAGCATATAAAATTGCACGATAGCAAACAGGTTGAAGAGGGGGGCGGGGGGGATACACTTGAGACTGGTGGTTCTGGAAAAGGTCCTCGTGGGGATGTTTGATCTGGGACCTGAGAGGGCCGGGCCTGGGGAAGAGGACCCCCAGGGTCTTGAAGAGTGGAAGTGAAGGTAAAACAGCTTGTCCGGGTTCAGAATTAGTGCAGAGGCATGACTTGAGCTCCCTTGTCTCTTTTAGTCAGAGCCCATGCGTTCAGAGATTATGTTCTTCCTGTTGCATGTGCTTCTTCCCAGACCTCAGAGCATCTGAGCCCTGGGCTGAGGTTTTCTAGAGCACATTGAAAAGAATGGACTGGCTTTATTGTCCCTGCTCTGTTTCTCGCCCACTAGATTATAAGATCTACAGTAGCAGCCTCCGTCTTCTTGAGACTTTTGGAGCAGGGTACATTTTGAAGGAAGTAATGGTTTGGGCGGGGGGGGGGGGGAGGTTAATAGGGATTTTAGGTAAGCATAAGGAACGGTACAAGATTTCAGGCTGTTCAGTGGGAGTAGGAGGTTTATACAGAACAGCAGCAGGCTTATATAGGACCGTCTGTCTGTCCATTCTCTCAGTACCATGCAACCCCATTACTGGGGGCATTTGCTGGAGCTGGGAGTACAGAGGGCCCACTGAGCAGAGAATCTTATTCTTTGATTTTGCTCCTTACCAAAATCTCAACCCTATGCCAAGGCAGAAGTCTAAAACTGTGGTTTTCCAGTTTTCTTTTGTTTCATTTTCATACTTCCTATAGTAATTCAGGGGGGCTGGAGAGATGGCTCTGCAGTTAACAGCACTGGTGCTCTTGTAGGGGACCCAGGTTTAGCTTCTGGCACCCACATAGGAGCTCACAACATCTGTGTCTGAAGTTCCAGAGGCTCTGACTCCCTCTTCTGATCCCCGGGGATACCAGTCATGCATGCAGTATGCCTACACACATGCAGGCAAAACACTCATGCACATAAAATAAGAATTAAAAAAAGGGATTGAGAGGTAGAGCATGTGCCTGACTTATGTGAGGCCCTGGGTTTGATCCCCAGTGCTCACCCCCGAAGTTAGGAAAATGTTGTTAACCCTTCCCATGTTAAAATTAATCTTCCGTTTTTTTTCTAAGCTCTTACAAATAGTTTCAGTGGGTGCGTATTTTGGTAGAGTGTGATGTCTTATTTGTTCCAGCTTTTGAACTGCCACCTTGGCTCAGCCAGTGTATAGAAAATGTTGGTTGTACACTTTGCAAAGCCACCCACATCAGCACTCTGGCTTGCCAAATTGGAGCGACTTTCTATGAAAAAAGTGTAACTTTGTTTTGATTCCAAGGTAAGGTGCATAGATGCAAGGCCCATGCCAGCTCTCCATACCTGAACTTTATGGGTAGATGGAAAAGCATGAAATGTGCTGCTGTTCCTTTCTCATCTTCAGTCTATGCCTTTGTTTTCCTGGGGCACAGTGTCCCTTAGGAGTGGCTTGTACCTTCTTCCCCCTTCCCTGAGTTCTTGTACTATGCCATAGTGATCCAACCCAGCCAGCGGCTGTCTGAGCTGTGGGCCTGTCTTTTGTAAAGTCGAAGCGGGACTGCGGTAGGCTGAAGTGAATAGATGTACAGAGGACAGATAGGTCAGTGTCAAGCAAGAACACACATGGAATTCAGGATCTTGAAAATACTCCTTTCGCTCACCCACCCCCGAGATGGCACTGTGTGCCTGTCCACTGAAGTCTATTAGTCTAGGAATCCCATAAGCATGGACCCTTGCGTCCATGGCAGGAGGCTCAGAGGGAGATTTGGGAGTGGTGGCTTTACCTCATGTCAGCTTTTCTGTTGTCTTCCCCTCTCTTCTGCTCTGTCTTCCTCCTCCTCAGGTGGGAGCAGTCCTCTTTCTATTTAAGGAATGGCCTGAACTAGGGCATAAGCCCCACACTGTTGCAGAGTTCCACTTACCTCAGGAGAAGGCTGAGGTCCTATGTACTCCTGCTGGACAGAGATGTAGAGAAATTGTATCTTAGCTCTTGTTAAAGGAGCCATTCTTTTTAATGCTCGGGAAATCAAGGCCGAGGGAGACCCAGGATCCAGCACGGTGACATCTCACCCCTTTCATCTTGGTCTGTTCTGCATAAGAGAAGCTTTGTGCAACGTTCCCCGTTTGGACCGGCCAGGGCTTATTGTTCTGCTAAGTAGCACAGGAAAGTAACCAGAAACTGAGGCTCGGGCCAGGCAGGTCTCTCACCTTGTGATCCCTGTGACTTGTGTGAGAATAGCTTGGACCTTGTGACCTCAGTGCTCAATTTTAATACTGCTTTAAAGCAAAATAAATATTTGATGTTGAAAACTATGCCTAGTTAGGTTTTAAAAATCCTGAAATCTGGAGGAATTTGTGTGTGTGTGTGTGTGTGCGCGCGTGCGCGTGCACACACACAAGCGTCTGTGCATATCATAGGGCATGTGTGGAAGTCACAGAACAATCTGTGGGAGTTGGTTTTTCTTTCTACCATGAGGTTCCTGAGGACTGAACTCTGGTTGTCAGGCTTGGTGGCAGGCACCATCTTGCTCTCAACTGAATTTTAAACTCCATCTCAGGTTTTATTAAAAGCTCTTCTTAACTGTAAACTTTGGTAGTAGCTAATTTTACGTTGTATGTTTTATAGGGATCACGAAAGAACCAAGTTTTATTTCAAAAAGAAGAGTTTACTACCATGACCCTCAGATTTCAAAATCCCTGGCGTGGAATGGAGCCATCACAGAGAATGGGATGGTTGTCCCACCAGAACCCAAGACCCTCCAGACTCCAAAACCACAAGAGGCAGAGCAAAAAGAAGGTGCTAACCAAGGAGTTCTCTCAGTAGAGGCCTCCAGGGTTCCCAAGAGAACTCGATCACATTCTACGGACTCCAGAGCTGAAGGGGCTTCAGATGGCATGGAAAAGCACCAGGATGTAACAGGAAACCACGCACTGGCTAATGAAGCTGTGGAGCAGGCACCTTCTACCCAACCTCTTTCACAGAGTATAGATCCCAGGGTAGGAATAGCCACCACACTTTTATTCAAAAGTGTGACAGCCCTGATTGGTTTCATTGCTACCACATTGTGTATTTAAGGTTTTTCTTGTTAAGTGTTATTTTCCTTGTCTCGTGTCTCTGCTATAGATGCTAGTAGAACGTTACTGAGAATGCTCTATTCTTACAGTGTACTGGCTGTACTAAGACGTGCCTTCCCTGTATGGGCAGCCTGCCTCTGGATTTTATTCATCAGAGACTAGCAGCCAAGCCCTGAGGAAGAGGTCAAGCCCAGACAGAAAGGCAGTAGGCCGTTTCTCTGGCTGCTGTGCCCAGAGGACTTTACCTATCCTCATTTCACTTTCTCATTGTGTAAGAAAACAAACAATCTCAGTTGACAACAGGAAAAGGGAAGAGAGTCCTGGCTGGGTCTCAAAGACCTTGCACATTCTGTCCTCTTAGGTCATAGCTGGCCTGCAGCAGGTCCCCGCAAGCACATAAGCAGAGGCTGTAGGGCTGTGTGTGGGAATCTGACCGGTTCCCACATTTCATTCTCCAGGCTGTTGCTCTTTTCCTAGTGTACTTCAACCATTGACTGGAACCCTGCAGCCATTTAGGAGTGCTGAAGGAGCATCTCTGACTTGTTGAGAAAGCCAGGGGATGTAGGGAACCATGGAAGGTGATGTGTGAGCTTGTTTGGCAGAGGGAAGGGTGACCACAGAAGTGTGTGGGTAGGGCAGAGGGCTATGGTTTATTTTTTGATAGTAGTTTTGTTATGAATGATGGTAGGAAGGAACTGAGCAATACATAATAGTTCCTTGACACTATTATTAAGAAAGGAATTTAAAATTTTGACCGTTTAAAAGTAATTATTTAGAAGTTAAAAGTTTGCCATACTACTGTATGCATATAGTTAACAACACTGTAAGGCACACTTAAAACTTAAAGGGATAAATTTCATGTTGCATGCTTTACAATTTAGACTTAAGCAGAGTTTGTGTAGCAGATTTTGATAGCTTTGAGTGGTTTTTTTTCCCCCAACAGTTGGATAGGCATCTTCGCAAGAAGGCTGGATTGACTGTGGATCCCTCGCATAATGCCTTGAGAAATTCTGAATATCAGAGGCAGTTTGTCTGGAAGACCTGTAGAGAAACTGCTCCAGTGTTTGCAGCCAATCAGGTAGTTTAACAGATGTGATGTGTTTCTGGGTGTACTGGTTTAGTAACGCAGATTTATGTGGACGGAGAGCTGACCTAGGCCTGGAAGACAGAACAAGAGTTTTGCGAGATTCTCACTCTCTCTCATGATTTATAGTGGTAACCTTATACTGTCCTGTGCTGTTGACAGTCACTGTTGCCAGGTCCACTAAGTGAGAGGTAGGACAGTGAAAACGTGGGGGAGTGGTAAGTGTTCACACGCCAAAAGGCCTCTTTAGTTTATTTTTAATCGTTAAATTGGTTCTATTTTAAACTGTTTATTTGACTAATGTTTTGGCATGATGTATATATATTTTTAAGAAAGACAATTGCTTTGGATGTTTACATACTGAAAGTAGCACCAGATGTAATTGTTCCCTTGAATCAGTTCAAAAGGCACAAAGGACTAATTTTTGACATTATATTCTTGTGCAATTTTAATATTTTATTACCTTGCTAATAAATACTCTGCTAAAGGCTGCTATTGTCTGGAGAGCGTTTAGACTCTAAATACTTTATGTTCTTGACTATACTTTCAGCTCCATGTTTAATAACTCCAGAAACTTGCGACAGCTTCATCTTTTTCCTGATCTTAGTATTTTTTAATAAGTCTACACGTACCTTTACATGCTGTGAAATCATTCTGCCTGTTCTTGAGTATCATTTATACTCTGAAATCTAAGGATGACTAGATACAGCGGGGCAGTAACATCTGTGCTCTCCCACCGACACACTCACTAAGGGTCATGTACCTTGTGGCAGCTTTGTTTACTTATTATCAAAATGCGTTTCAGGATCACGTGAGCTATAGCACAAAGTGATGTGTTCTCTTTCTGTGACCTACTAATTGGGGTCAGTGCCTTTTCTGCTTGCTTGCAGGCATTCTCAGGTAGTAAGTCCTCCTAAAAGTATTTGTGCCTTGAAAATTGTGTTTCATCATTTATTGTATGGCATTTGACCTATAAGCTAGGGCTGATTCAGTCAAACCCTGCTTGACAAATTTTACATGCCAAAGCATTTTTCAGAAAAATTTTTTTCGTAGGATCAGAAGCATAATGAAAACAACAACAACAAACTACTAGCAGTGTCTTTACCAGCAAGCCTATTGCTTTCATTAGTGAGGCTTTCAAAGGGCTTCTTTGGGAAGCAAATGCTCTTTGAAAGTTCAAAGCACATTGGCTTTGAGGTCTGTGGAGGAGCTCACTGGTAAGCTGTCAGCTCTCCTCTAAGGAGCCATCTGCTTTCGATCAGGTACCTTTTCTTGTAAGGTTGTCACATTAATGTTTAAAGGAGTTGGAATCGTTTTGGCTGGAAAGCCCTTGAGCTTGTGCTGTACTGAGAGGATGAACTGTTTGGATCGGGTCTGCACAACTGTGCTAGTCAGTGGTGCGAAGCAGGGCTAATGTATGGCTTACCCAGCACCCTCTCCTCCATGGGATTTAATTGTCAGTGGTAGTGTACCAGCATGTGGAAACCATATTGAATATTATGGGTGAAAGAAAGTATTTAAAAGAGAAATATAGTAATTCCTGGATGTCCTCTCTTGCCTTAATGAAAATGCTAAACAAGCAAGCAAGAGGCAAGAAAAACAAACAAACCCCAACCAGATTGAACATATCAGGCATCATCTTACATTCTTTCAGAAAAAGGGAAATTCTGACAAGGAAAAATGTAATTGTGGAGCCGACAAAATACTTTAATAAAACTAATGTCAGTTCATATTGTGAAAATGCTTATTTCATTTATTTTATTACTAAACTGGTGGGAGGAAGTGGGGGAACTTTGCATAGGGAAAATCAGGTAAGGGGCATGGTCTATTATTTTTGCTTAAGTGACATTTTGATCATAATTGGACTCTTCAAAACATAGTAACAAGTATAGAAATTTGAACTTTGACTACTAATGACACACATGAAATCGCAGTAATACACAATTTTGCCTTTTTGTATACTATAATTCAACTTTTTATGAGTTTTTAAAAACAAACACCTAAGGTTCTGTATCACTTAATAACCAGCCAAAAACTCAACTGAACTTTTTTTTGTTGTTGTTGTTTGTTTGTCTTAAGGCTTTCCGTAATAAAAGCCAAGTTATTCCACAAGTTAGGGGCAATACTGTCATCCCCGAAACTGAATACAAGCGAAATTTCAAGGGCTTATCTCCCTCGAAGGAACTAAAGCTAAGAGAGCACAGCGGCCGTCTTGAGACGCCAGCTCCAGAGAAGAAGGTATCCTCCAGCTTCCAACCTCTTGCAGACGGTTTCAGACTTTGCATATTTTCTTTTGTTACCTCCTGAAGCTCCCTGAATTCATTGCTAGCATTAGCTCATTTGTTCGCTAAATGCCAGGTGCTCATTGACTACTTACGTGAGCCAGGTCCTCTGCAGGGCCTGAGGGTACAGGGTGCAGACATGGCAGGGCTCAGCAGTGCTTAAGACTGCTGGGAGACAGACACATGAAGTTAGTACTCCTTGGCCATGCTTAGCAATGCAGCAGCTAAGTCTCCCCTGTCTAACGTCAAATGACTGGCCTTGCAGTAACATCCGCTGTAGGACAGCAGGAATGATAGAAACGTTATCTTAAAGTAGTAGCCGTGAAGCATACCACACATTTACCTTAAGGCAGAATTTTTATGCTAAATTTTTATGCTAAATTATAGTATAATTCATATAATTTACTGCCCTGGATATAAACACTTGCATTTGTGTGTGAATTTGCAGATAGTCTAAGTTATGACATTAGGCTAGAATCATTGGAGATTATAGGAAAATGAAATAGTCTCCTGTAGTAAGTTACCTGGAACTTCGTGGCCTTTTAAAATACGAAGTATATGACTAAAAGTAAGATTATACACCTGTGTGCGTGTGTTCGAACACATCCTCACAGCCATGCCCATGCACACATACACGTATGTGCTTGTGTGTACACATGTACATGTGCATGCACACACACATGCATGGGTGTGCACACAGCACACACACACACTTGCTTTTGACCTATAATCTTGGGGTGGAACATTGTGATAACTTAATTAGCGAAACTTTAACTGTAACACTTGGACATAAACATAAGGACTAAATCAAAACCTAGTGTGGTTATTTTTTTAATATTTAGGTGGCATTTGTTAATTTCTTAAAAAAAACATAAGGATCTAAACTTGGTTTCAAAACTTGTTGATTTTTTTTTTTGTTTTTTCTTTAGTAGCTAAAACATCTAAAAGAAAAAATATAATAGAATCTCCAGACCTACCTTTCTAACATCTGTGTTTTTATTTTAATATATGACATCTGTAAGCATTAAAGCTTAAATTATTTCCATTTCAAATAATAAGGCAGACGAGGCTTTAGAATTAGAAGTAGAGATGGCATCGGAAGACTCAGACCAGCCTCAAAAGCCTGTTCCCTGGAGACACCAAAGGCTTGGGTATGTATCTTATCAGGATATGCTCATTTTTGGGTGGTCACCACGCGAGAATACTTACTTCTATTCTGTCTCTTGTAGAAAGGTGAATTCTGAATATAGAGCAAAGTTTCTGAGCCCAGCCCAGTATTACTATAAAGCTGGAGCTTGGATGCGTGTGAAAGAGAACATGCCAAACCAGGTGAGTCTGTGATTTTACATTTTCTTCCAGCCTATCCAAAAATTCCACAGTGAGTTTCATTACAACTTAGAAATGGATGATACAATAATAGCACTCCAAATCCCACCATCTTACGATTGAATGTAGTAGCTGTCAGCTTAGCAACATGTTCACAGTTTTTATACCAATGACCTCTTTAGAGATTGACATTTATTATTAAAGTAATTTTTTAAAGCCATCAAGTATCTGATAGTTCTAATGAGTTTAGTTTACAGGACTGTAGCTTTATTGATTTGGTTCTCATGACATCCATAGCTTCTGTCTTTGAACTGAAGGTCAATCGATAAAGTGTGCTAATAAGGCTGCTGACAGTTTCCACCATTGCAGTATGTAGGAAAAGGGTGAGTGCAGGTAGACTGAGTTCATTCAGGATCATGTTCTACTTTCGGGGTGCCCAGGCATAGGGGGCAAAACGGGTACCTAAAGATGGGCAAGAGGAAAGGGCAGTTATGTCCTAGTGCTGAGAAGTGGGACTTCTAGTCAAAGGATAAATGGTGGGACATTTAGATTATTATATAATTAGTATCTTAAAACTGTATCCTGACAGTTTTCAACCTTTCCCACATGCAGAAGCTAAATTAAAACATTTTTTTGGGGGGGGGGTGTTGGATTGTATAATAATAGACATTCTTTTCCGTTCGTTTTTTTCAAAGACAGGATTGGGCCTGTTTGAGCTGCTGGTTTCTTGAGCTGATCTCTCCCAGACAAATGTCCTGACACTCCTACCCCAGCATTCTATTTCTGGAAGCTTTTGGATTTTTTTTTTTTTTTTTCCTATTGCAGCTACTTTCAGTACTGTCTACCTGGATCTAACTCAGGCTACATGGGACAGGAACAGCTCCCATTACATCTGGACCATTTGTCTATTCAGTCTGGTTAAATCAAATGAAAAATATGAGCATCAAAAGCAGTGATGATAGGGAAAGGACTGAATTCCCTAAGTTCTTGGACAGTTTCTTACTATTCTAGGTCTTGGCAAAGAGAGTGTATTTGGGGACTTGGACAGGGTAGGAGAAAACTGGGGAACACTGAACAGTGCCGCTGATGACAGCCAGTGGGCAGGGCTTGAGGTCATGAGAAAGTTGTTTTGGAAAGATTCTGAGCTAGTGTATGACTCGTTTAAGGTGAGTTGGTATTTAAGCATCAGCTCTAAACATTTCATTGGTTTAGAGGACTGTAGGGATGCTGAAGTCAGATGAGATTCTGCATATTGCCTCAATGGAGGAGAGTGCTGTGTTGCCTGATTTCTCAGTTTTCCCTTATATGCTATCTTGATGCCGTAACCTTTTGTGAGTTGTGTTCATTGCTACTGGAAAGTGAAGTTTGCATCAACCTTTTATGAAAAGTAAAACCTAGACTGGCAATAGAAAAGAAGAATAACTCTTTAATATTAACCAAGGTATAGACATTTAATATGGGACATATTTTGTCAAAATACTAGATTTTTCCCCCTGGACCATTATTTGTGATATGTGGTTGATAACAAGGTGTCTGAGCATCATTCCCCCCCCCCCAGCATTTTTTTATTGTTGTGTATGTTGTGTATGCATTATGCACACATGGCTGGGCACCTAGAGGCCAGAGGTTGGTGTCCCTCACTACCTTTTTTGTGACAGCATCTCTCACTGACCTCAAAGCTCACTGATGGCTTAGATTGGCCAGCCATTGAGATCCCCGGTTCCTCCTCCTTTACCTTCTAGTGCTGGAACTAGACTGGGATAAGTGGGCAAGCGCTTCACCCACAGAGCCATCTCTCCAGCCCATCCTCCTAATAGTAGCTCAGCTGTTGGCTCATGGTCAGATACTGACTTCACTTCCTGTTCAGCTGTCTAGATGCTGCGCTTTTGGGATCTATTTTTAGCGATAACTATTGGGTATTCTCTCCGAAGTCCCACATACTTACTCACTTGGTGTCTGTGTAGTCGGCCTTGAGCGTGGATGCGTATTCCACATCTGTCCATTACTGCAGCACTGCTCTATAACATTCTTAAACGATTTCCTTCAATAACCGAATCTGTTGTAAATTAATTCACTCTTAAATTAATTTTTGTTTTTTGTAAAAGGGTCTGGCATTAGCTTCATAGCAATCCTCCTGCCTTAGCCTCTCCCATGTAGGTATTACAGGCATGTGTCATGATGGCTAGTTGGCATGTATATCTTTTTGGCTTGGTTGTTGTTGTGACTAGAGGACAATTAGGACTTTGATTCTAGATGAAGAGCCACATTTGAGAGACATCCTGTAATCTGACAGACGTTGTGAGAACCAGGTATAGAATTACTTCTCATTTGGGGGTCATGAGTTTTGAGAAAAAAAATTTTTTTCCCTTCAGTTTTCTGAATTTGATTTTTCTGCATGTAAATTTTAAATGATTTAGTTCAAATTGGGAAAAATAATTCAGTAATGAAAACATTCAACTTTCAGTGTTTAGATTGTGTGTGTGCCTGTACCTGTGGAGGCCAGAAGAGGGCGTTGTATTTGTATCTCTAGGAACTGGAGTTATAGTAGTTGTGGCCACTTAATGTGGGTGCTGGGACCCAAACTCTTGTACTGTATAAGAGCAGCAAATGCTTTTAGCCTCTGAGCCGTCTCATATATATATATATATATCCTGCCGTTGGGTGGCATTACTGTGTGGGTAGTTTAGTTGGGAATACTTTATTCCCATCCTTTGTAGTGACCTTCAGTCATTGGTCTTAGGGGCTATTTCTGGAGTCCACACTCAATTTTCCCCTCTTGCCCATAGAATACCTTACTTTGAGAGATGTCAGCCTTCTTCAGTTTCATCTTAGAATAGGATTATACACATTTAAATGTAAAACTGAAATGTTAGCACTGACATTCTTTAGGAAGGATGGCTGATAAGGAACTGTGAAAGCATTGGGTTTTATATCTCATTAATAAATAGAACTGAATAGTTATACTGAATGTCTAAAGTGTCTGTTCCTCATCCTTTCTAAGTAATTGGTATCAAGTGGATCACTGTATACAGAGGGCTCTTCACCATTCTCTTATTCATTAAGCAATGTGGATAATACTCCCATGTGAACAGGACGTGGCCTCCTTGACTGTTTATTTCCACTGCTCAGCACTCAAGGTCTCATTTGTTGAGTAGGGCACAGATTGTGCCAGTGCTAGGATGGTACAGGTTGGCTTCCTTTGCCATTGTAAGCCCGTTGAGTATGAGTGTTTTGAAGCTCTGGTTGTCGTTTCTCTCTGCTGCTCAGTCTGTACTCTAGACAGGTATAGAATCAGTGTTTGAGTGCTGATTGCCCCTCGCTGCTGCAGGGTGGTAGGTTCGTGGAGAGAACACAGAGGAAGTGATTCTAAGGCTTGCAGCTTTATGTAGGTGATGAACCGTTTGTTACACCAGCCGACCAGGTCTCCTAGCCATGCAGAGTGCCCCCCCCAGTCACTCAGCACATCGACACCAAATGTCTTGGTTCTGCTGTTTCTGCAAAAACTGCTGCTGCTTTTCTTTGAAGTATATTGAGTTTATAGCACTGATGAGTGCACATAGCTCATGTTGGCAGTGAAGAAAGTAGGATATCAGATTATTCCTTGGGATATTTTCAAGTGTTGGGTAAAGCTGTCTGCTGGAGTTGTATGGCTTCTCATGCTAGAGTAGGTGCTCTCTCTGTGATGGCTATTTCCCTAGAAGTGTAATGCTCTCCCTCCCTTCGTGTTAACAGTGGCCTTGTTAGGAGTTCTGGATCGGTTCCCTAGTTGCTTTTGCATCGCAGGTTTCCTTGTCTGCTTTTCTTTTTTGGCTTCAAGGGAAGAGTGCAGTTCTAGTGCACAGCATTCTGATAGGGGAGGAGTCTTGCCTATATGGTAGAAAAAGACAAGGAGTTGAAGGCTGGAGAGATGACTCAGCAGGTGAAGTGCCTGCTGCCAGCCCTGACAACCTGAGTCCCACATGGTACACGCATGCACGCAGGCATGCACACGCACGCATACGCATGCATATGCACGCATACGCGCACGCACACACACACACACACACACACGCACTATTACAACCACTACTAAAGGATGAGGTAGTGACTATAAAGCATAAAACATCTCTTATTGTGAAGGGTAAAAGATGAAACGATTAACAATTATACCTAAAATAAATTGTCAAGGGATAAAAGATTTTACAAAACTGTGGGAACCCTCTGTTTTTAAAAATACAGAATTGTTAGTATCAATAAAAGTTGCTAAGAATAATAAGCAAAATATTTTAAAGCAGAATGTTCACAGTTCTGTTTTTTGTTGTGTTTTTTTTATTGTATATTTATATTTAGAGCAGCCAGCAGGTGGCAGTGTGGTGTGAAATAAAAGTGTTTCAAATGGTAGTTAGGTTCCTTTTCATATGAAAGTATATTTGCAAATTAGAGAATACAAAATATTATATAGTTTATCATAATTTTTAAAAAGCTTGTTGAACATCTCACCATTATTTTGGTAGGGATTTCTTTTCAGTTATTTAGTAGTTGTTGGTTTGTTTTTGAAGTTGAGGATGTGCTGATTGTGGGGGAACCTGCAGGTTTTGGAGAGGGAATCTCACAACTGTCACTGGGATTTCTGTAATAGGAACAGCTGGGAAATTAAGCCAGACTGGGAGTTACTGGCACGTGACCACTCTTCCAGAGATGGGGAGCTAGTATTGCCAATCAATCACCTATCACTGGCACCGTCACAGTCAGAGATGGGGAACTGGGGATAACAATCAATCACCCATCACCAACACCATTACAATCAAGCAAGAACATGCCTGATCCTTGAACACACTATTAAGATACCTTGGTTAGTGAGTTAAATATTACTAAGAATACAAGAAATATTGATTGACAAATTGGTAATAAGATACAGCATCTCATTGATTCCCATTAGTAGTCATTTATGGCATTAACCTGTCATTAAGTGTGTCTCTGTATTCCTCCCCTAGGATTCTCTAAGTGCCATGTGGTATGCAGAGGTTGGTTGCTTTTGAGTTCTTAAACACTATAGTAATGCATAGAATACTTGTGTGATTTCAGTTGAAGTAAAAAAGAATGTGTCAATATTTTTCTTAGCTACTATAAATGTCTCCTTGCCTGCTAGTCCAAAATAAAATAACTGCATTGTGCTTTGCCTAATTGTTTTAATTTCTGCTTAAATGTATAGTCTGGTGAGTGTATGTGGCTGTTGTTTTTGCCTGCCTTCCTCATTGGACTGGCTGTAGGCATGCACAGGCTTTGTTATGTTCACGTTGATATTTGTAGAGAGCACTGACAGTGGTGGGTGACTTCTGAACTCTTTACTGTAGGTTAAGGAACTCCGAGAAAAGGCTGAGTCTTACAGGAAGCGAGTTCAGGGAACACATTTTTCTCGGGACCATCTGAACCAGATTCTGTCCGATAGCAACAGCTGTTGGGATGCCTCCTCAACCACAAGCTCAGAAGGAACCATTAGCGGCAACATCCAAGCATTAGATCTTGCTGGGTAAGGTGTTGTTTGTGGATGGTGAGAAGAGTGAGTTGTAGCTTATGTTCATCACAGAATGACATAGGGAAAGTGACCCGACTTCTCATAATCTGCCTTCTAGTCAGATGGGTCTCTTTATTTCATTATTTAAAACTTACTCTCTATGACAAATGCAGCCCTGTTGTACTTGCTCTGTGTGTTTCTGTATGAATAATAAATAATTCTGGATGGCTTATATTTTACAATATTCTTTGTAACAACCATAGAGCTAGAATGGCTATAGGGTAGATGTAAAAGGACTTTAAGAAGTTGAAAAAGAAACAACCACAAAAACATACAAGAATAGAAGCTAGTAGTGTATATCCGTTATCATTCAGGAATGAATTTTTGTGGCTAATATGGAACTGGACCTCTAGTTGTAGAGAATTCTCTGCTGTTTTAAATTTTAAAGCAAACACAATTTACCTGTTTGTGAGAGAAGTTGCCCATTGATTTGTAGCAACTAAAATAGCACTGTTATACCAAACTCATCTAGAAATTCTATTATGTGACCTTGCTTTAAAAGTTCACAAAATACTCTTCAATAATATTTTGGAAAGATGAATCTAAAATATAAAAATTTGAATGTGCATACTTGCTCACATGTATAATTGAATTGTGCATGAATATGAATTTAGTGACAACAAATTAGCCTATTTGGGGTTGGTGAAGTGCAAGCATGTGTGTGTGAAAGTAGGTAAGTGTGTTGCTTTTTGGAGGTGTTTTTTGTTTGTTTGTTTGTTTGTAACCCAGGCATAGCTCTCGTATATTGTGGTCCCTCAATAACTTAAGGACCTTGACAAGGTGTCAAGGCCATCAGTGTGGAAACAAGTGGAAAAGTGATGAACTTACTAAAGCACTAGAACACCCAAACAGATTTACAATGAAACTTTTTTTGATATGCAGAGATCTTCCAAGCCACAAGACTCCCCAGAAACATCCTCCTACCAAACGAGAAGAAAAGGAAGTTGCCTCAGGAGATCACCTCCCAAAAAATAGTACCAGGAAACTGGACCTGCCAGAGGCCGCCACCATGCCGGTCAGGAGGAACCTGGCTTGGGGTGCTGACAGCACCAAGGAAGACACCCAGCAGCAGCCCAGATGGGAGGAGGATAGGGAGGAGAGAAGGGGAAAGGACAAGCAGACCTGTGTGCGAGAGCTAGAGACACTGGACACACAGGAGAGGTCTAAGGCAGACGGAATGAAGGAAGGGTGAGATTAAATTCTTCAGCATATACAATGTTCTTGGGCATGACAAAAGTGCATCTACCATGTCACTAGGTGTGGGGGTTACACTGGCAATTTATGACTGGTAAAGAACTGGGTTGTACTTTAATGTGGCGAGGTAGGTGCTGTCGCATGCCATGTGCTAAGATTTATTCACATGTTTCGTCAGTCTCATCACCACTGATTGCTGGGGGAGCACCGTGCTCTTTGAGGAGGAATTAGATTGTTCTCACATATGTGGTAAGGATCCGCCAGATTTGTAATGTATCTGGAAGGATGACTTCATGGGGAAAACTGGTATTCATTAATATCAATTAATGATATTAATTGATATTCAATTATTCAATGGTTCTGTCAGGAAGAAAGGCTGCTGTTTGGTAATAGTTTTAAAATGGTTTCTGAAAATAGCTAATGATGCTGGTTCTATGTGCAGGCAGCTACAGGGGCATGGTTGTTTGCTGCTGCCGCTGGTGTATTTTGTCTGCAGCCAAGCCCTTCATTTGTTCATGGGTGTTGTAGCGAATGTGGAAGTTGGGTGCTGACTAAATGGAAGACTTCTTAGTTACGGATTGCTGACTTAAAGTGAGCTTCCTTCTCTTCCCTCCTTTCTAGACCTAGTTCCTCTTAACTACATACAGATTAGGCATTTTAAAAAGATTGTTTTTAAGTAGGGACTTCCTGCATAGCCAAGGCTGGCTTGGAACTCAGGATTCTCCTGTGTCTCCTTCCTATAAACACTAGGGTTATAGGCAGCTGTTACAGGCTCCCTGCATATGAATCTGATTTGTTTTTCAAAAACAAAGTAGACTCTTAGTTTATGCTTTATTACTATGCTAAATAGTGGTGATGTTGAGGTTTGATATATATATATTTTTTTTTTCTGGAAGAAAGGCTTCTTAATAGATTGTATTACTCTTTAGGTTGGAGTCATTTTCTCTTTCCTCAGGGAAGGGAGGCAGGCTTCCTACTCCACAGCTGAGAGAACTCGGTATCCAGCGGACTCACCATGATCTCACGACTCCAGCTGTTGGTAAGAGTCACATTCTGCAGCCTATAGTCTGCCCTTCTAGAATGTAGCTTGGTATGATTGACACGTGGTTTCCATGGGATTTTCAAGGTGGGGCCGTCTTAGTGTCTCCGAGTAAAGCGAAGCTTTCATCCCCCGAGCAGAGGAAGAGAGCGCCCTCTCCAGATGGCTTAGAAACTCTAAAGGTACATATTTGCATTTCGGAGGAAAATTTCTCTTCTTGGGTTCAAATAGTCTCATGTAATAAATGAATTGTAGGCTCAGTCTTTAGAAAATCCTGCCTACTGTATGTAGAAACACCACTGTTAGCTTTCAGTAAGGCAAGGCAAAGGCACTGGAATTTACTTATTTGCTCTTGACATTTTATTGTTGCTGATATGCTTTCACTTATTCTTAGTAGTGACTCATCAGAAAGGAAAAAAAATACAATCTGTTGTTTGATAGTTGTGTTCCAACCATGTTTCAGGCACAGTTAAGCATGGGAGATTAAAAACTAAAGACTCAGGGCTCACTGAGCTTACATCCTGCTGGAGGGTGGGGGTCACAGCCATCATAGCAAAGGTATAACGCACAGATAGGTCTCAGTGCTCTGAGAAAACTAAGATGGGAAATGAGTGGGAAGTGGTCAAGGAGGTCCTCACTGACAAGGTGGTATTGAAGCAGAATATGAAGAAGGTGGGGGACTGATCTGGGCATGTGAGGAGATGCTCTAGACCAAGAGGACAGAGGCAAAGTCTCTGAGGTGAGAGGACCCCCGATTCATTCAGGTCCAGTCATGTGTTCTTGTGGCGGGAACAGAGAATAGTTTGGGTAATGGTTTTGAGACCTGGTGCTGTGCTAAACTGTGTAGGGCTTTGTAGATCACAGAAAAGGCATACACGTTATTTTTAGCGAGATAGGAAGTGTGGGAACGGAAAGGAGTGACTTGATTTGACCCAGGCTTTTCCAAATTTACTGTAGTCATTGCCCTGAGACTGGACAACAGGGAGCGAGAGCACACGTGTGAAAGCAGCGGGCAGTCAGTATCGGATCCAGGAATTTGGATTTGGTGGGAGGTGGCGAAGGTCTTCTGATGAACCCCAATTCTGGAGGTACACTGAAGATGTATGTGCCAAGAGGTGCTGAAAGATGGGTTGTGGCATGGGAGGAAGAGTAGAATTAAGGACGACTGAAACATTTTTGGCCTGAGCAAGAGGAATGGAGTTGCTTTTTAACTGAGATAGGAAAGATGGATAGGAAAATATGTGTTAGAAAATAGCAAGAGTTCTCTTTAGGACATGTTAAATTTGAGAAGTTTAAAAGGTCTATGAGTAGACATGCTGATGGGAGCTGACTATATGCATTTGAAAAGCTTGTCTGCAGAGAGATAGTGGATGCTCATATACGTGTGTGTGTGTGTGTGTGTGTGTGTGTGTGTGTGTGTGTGTGTGTATGTATAAAGCTACAGGTATTTGAAGACTTAGGCAATAGGTGTTGACAGGGAAGAGTAGGTGTAGGCATGTGTGAGTCTCGGGTTTTTTATATTAGGAAGTCGAGAAGTAGTCAGAAAAAAGAAAACTGCCAGTAAGGTAGTGATAGGAAACAGAGATGATGTGGGGCTCAAAGAAAAGGAATATCAAAAAGGGCTGAGCTGTAACTCAGTAGTAGAATATTTGTCTATCATGTATAGGGCCCTGTGTTCAATCCCTAGTACTGCCAGGAAATGAATAAACAAATGAATAAGCAAACAAATAAATAAAAATATAAAACATTTTTTATTCTGGCCTGGAGACATGGCTCAGTGACTAAGAGTGCTTGGTGCTCTTCCAGAGCTCCTGAATTTGGTTGCTGGCACCCATATCAAGTGGCTAATAGTCCTGGTAACTCCAGCCCCTGGGAATCCAGTGCCCTCTTCTGGCCAGTGATATTACTCCCACAAATGGCATTCACAGGTGCATTCAAGTGGGCACCTGTGTATACATACACACACACACACACACACACACACACACACACACACACACACCATGGAGAGAGAGAGATAGAAGAGAAGAGAGAAGAAATATGAGCGTTTACGCTGCTCGGTCAGTAGGGATGAGACTTAAAGTCAGTTAGAATCTTGTAAAAGCCGAAATGTAAGCGATTCAAGGGAACAGGAAGGGAGAGTTAAAGATAACTGCACATTGTGTGTTTGTTGCTGGTAGTGGCAAGAATTGAGCCTAAGGCTGTGAGCATGGGTGGCAAATGCTGTACCATTGGCTACATTCCCAGCCTCCAGAGACAAGTCTTTCCAGAGCCTTTTCCAAGAAAGTAAGCAAAGAAAGAGTAGTGGGTATACAGGGGGACCAAAAATGGACACGACAAGAGCATGCCCATTTGGTGAGGAAGATAATTTTAAAGAAAAAAAAAAGTCAAGACACAGGGCTTACATAATAATTGTTATTGATTAGAAAGAAAGGCTGTAGGTGCCCTGGGGAGCAGCGGAGGTGCTATCAGGCACACTCCTGGTCCCTCTACTCTTACAAGAGGGAGAAACAGCCCTGAGAAGTGCTGCTGAGCACGAAAAAGGTGTGAGCGAAGTGTTTGGACAGTTTTCTGACCATGTCCTGGGGACGTGGGAAAAATATCCTTGTCTAGAATGAGTTTGAGAAAGAACATATTGACCTTTTAGAGCATAGAGGAGGAAGCTTTACAGGGTCTAGTTAGAGCGAAAGAGGGAGCAGGGAAATGCATGTTGCAGGGCTCTTAGGGGCCATTTGGGTTAGTGGTTACAAATTTGATGTCTTTAGGGCCAGAGCTGTAGTGAGTTGATTTAACTGGCCTTTGTGATATGATTTGCCAATAGCATGACAGAGTGAGAAAGAAGGTGAGAAAATTATGTTATATTGACGGCAGTGACTGGCTGTGGAAGTTGAAGATGCTGGGAGGAACCCTGCTCGGTGTGGACGGGATGGGGGCATTGGGGGGGAAGGTCTCCTCAGATGTAGAGACTAGCTGTCGCAAGTACACTGAGGATTAGTGGGACTTGGAGCTCTTGCTCCTCAGTGTGGGGCACACGTGCAAGCGCACACTGAAAAGTAGGGAGTGTGGTGAGGAGTTGATAATGGCTGATGTGTAATAGAAGTCATTCAGAGGAGATGTTGGTCAATTCTCCGGGCATGGTGGAGTTTGCAGGGCTGGAGGAGAGGTCCAAGATGGGATCAGAGCTTAGGTTTCACTGCTTGGACCCCAGCTCAGCTCATAGTTGACATCATTAGATATGTGTTACATGAATGCTGTTGGAGTGACAAAACCTAGGCCGTTTCCTGTTGCACATTCACATGTTGGCTTATGAAAGGATATATGACAGTAGACATTTCCTCGGGCCGATGAGAATAAATGTTGGTAATCATTTGCCCCATGTGCTCTCTGCCCCTTTGGACGTCCAGGCTGGCGTAAGGCCAAGGCAGCTATGCACACAAGCCTGACTCGGCCTCAGTGGGGTCCTATTTGCCACTGTATTTATGTGTGTTATCTTAATTTGCTGTGGAATTAGTTTCTTGAATAACATCCTAGAGTAGTACTAAATCTTAACACTTTAAAGCCAATCTCTGCTTCACAAGGACTTCAATACAATTGTAACATTTTAGTTACAAACTTCTCTGAAAAAGCATATTTCTACCACCGAGTAGATAGATGCTGCTGTGTGAGTTTCCTGCCACTTACGTTGCAGGGCTGCCTGGGAGCTGGATTTGGTTACTTCTGTTGGCTGAGGAGAGGAGTCTTTGAGCTGGGCACGTTGTCTTGGTTTCCCGTAAGAGCTGTTGTTACAAATGAAGTTACAGTCTTAGCCTTTCGTAGTTTGGTTATCCTTGATGAAAACTTGATTTTTGCTCTAGGCATGAGGGAGAATGTATTATAACACCGTGGACTTTTTCACTCTTGACTTCACGTTGTATGCCTTGCACTGTGGACATATAGGGGCAGTGACCTGAGTAACTCCCACGGCATGGGAGTTGACTTGTTGAATCTTCAGAATGGTGTCGGAGCAAAGTATTGAGTTTAGTTAGGTGACGACAGCAGTGTCGCCTGACTGTCTCTCTCCTGAGCAGAATTTGACTTCTGTTGATTCATCCCACAATTTTGACTCCTAGACAGCACTGTCTCATACAAAACTTTACTTTTTTCATGGTATTGGTTTGGTCATTAAGAAACATTTTCTTACTTGTTTTGTATTTGCTTTTTGAGACAAAGTCTCGCTACATAGCCCAGGCTGGCCCTGAACTCTTACAAGAGTGGCTGAATATGTAACCCATTTCCTCTTTTCTTTTTGTAAAAATTATTTTTAAATTTTTATTTTTTACTTGTACGGTTGATTTTACCACATGTATGTCTGAATACTACAGGCATGCCTAGTGCCCCTGGGGTCCAGATGAAGGCGTTATCTCTCCCATATACGCAGTTGGAGATGGCTGCAAGCCGTCATGAGGGTGGTGGGAACAAAACCAGTGTTCTCTGCAGGAGCAGCCAGAGCTTTAAACGGCTGAGGCATCTCTCCAGCACCTATTTCCTGTTTCTTCAGTGCACACTGACCGTCCCTCCCTCTGAGCCTCCTGAGTTGTGGGCATTAGAGATGTGCATTACACTTGCCTCAGATCTTGCAGATGATCTTAAGAAGCCAGTGCGCATCAGCTCATCCTGCGCAGGTGTCTTAGCCATGGGTGCACCTGCTAGATGCTGTGGCTCTGGCTGTGAGCAAGAGTAGACCTTGGGGGAGACTCACGTTAGTCACACAAAGAGTACAACACAACAATGAAAATGAACAAGGCTTCAAAGCTGTGTTATTATTTAGTGCTTTTCTTTAAGGAATGGCCTAGTTATGACATTTGAGTACTTCTTGGGGCCGGAGCAAAGCTCAGTGGTAAGATCTAGCTTAGCACAAAGAAACTTGTTTGAAGTCGAGGACGTTCTTACCAGTCACAATTCACCTGATTAGAAGGATGGGAGAGAGGAGCATGCACCTGCCTTATACAAAATTTCCATGCAGAAAAGAACATAGGGTTTTAAGAAGCAACAGCTTCTGCTCTGCTTGGAAAACACCCTTCCGGGTTCTCTGCCAGGGCAGCTTCCATGCCCCCATCCACATGGTCCTAACCACAAAGCCTCACCCATCCCTTGGAGGTCATTTGTAGTTGGATTTAATTCACAGCACTTCTTCCTACCAGCACAGGGTGTGGCAGGGGTCATGGCATGGCACCAAGCCAGCAAAGATAGTAAGTGGAAATTTCCCATCATCTCAGAAGCACGGGGAGCCACTGAATGATTTAGGAGGGAACTCTGCCACCGAGGGGTATGCTTAGCCTTGAAATAGTTTCAGTTGTCTTATAGTAGAAGCAAAAGTAGACTGTGACCGCCTCAAAGGGACAATGTCCCAGTCCAGAGAGGAGACATGATATCACGAACTAAGGAAGGGGGTGGGGAGCAAAAGTGGAAGTGGGTGATACAGAAGGACTCTGTAAGGTGATAGGTTAGATAACGGAGAGGAAAACTGGAACACTGATTTGTGGTTTTCTAGCTTTCCAACAGGAATTGAGGGAATGGTATATACTGAGTTAAAGTCATAGGCTTATTTTGGAGAGGAACGTAGGGAATTTGATTTTTATCCACTCCCTTTCATATTTGGTGGCTTCTCCTGTGTGCCGGTGCTAGGCACTGTCCTAAGAGTTGGGGACACACACACACACACACACACACACACAAAAGAGTTGGGGACACAACTTTCTGACTTTGTGGAACTTCCCTAATCTTGGGAAAAAATAGAGTATTTTTTTTTCTTAAAAGATAATTTCAGGTAGGAAGAAGTACTATGAATTCAAGCTCAAGTGACATCTGAGTGAGGGCTGAGGCTCTGTGGCTGCAGTGGGTAACACTTCAGGGGAGACCAAAGGAGGGAAGGGCCCTGGCAGGGAACCAGGCGGGGTGTCTTCCAAGCAGGACAGACAGTCTCTCTCAGCGATGATTGCTCCTTTTATTTGTTTTTATTCACAGTAGTTATACATAATAATATAATAATGGTTTATTATGATATTCTGTATTTGACCCTCATTACCTTCTCTTGTCCCCCTTCTACTAACTCCCCAGTGAATTCCCCTTCTAGCCCTTCCTTCCTTCTCCTTCCCTCCTTATCCCCACTTGCTTTTGTTGTGTGATCCTCACTATGTTTCATTAGGGTTTCTTACAGAATCCTTCATGAGTAGCCAGTGAGTGGTCACGCTACTGAGGAGAAATGTTTCCCTTCCCAAGACCATAACTACCTAAAGATACTCAAGGAGGGGCTCACCCCTCCCCATAGCTACCATTATGTACCTATTAGTCCTTAGCGAGAGGGGAGAAAGGTGTGAGGTGGATTTAGAGGGAAGAGAAAGTAGGAAATAAGGTTGGCAAAGCGGTCGTTGAGGAGTTTGGATGTTATCCTACTGGCACTGGGAGGCCTTGGGGCTCTGACTCACAGGGTAAATCAAATCACTGGCTGCCGTGGGGAGCTTTTTTCTTCAAGAGTTGGCACAGTGCCAGTAAAGAGGCTTGAGGCTCACAACCAGATCAGTTGGTTTTAGTAAGCCTGAGGATCCCTTCAATTAAAATATTTTGTTTCATTTCACTCCTTTTAGCAGTTGTAAAACTGAGAGAACAAAACCTCTAAGTTATATAGGAAGAAAAAGAGAAGACAAGTCTTAGTGTGGTCTGCAACTGACTGACTGTAGGAGCAAGGGGAAGCAAGTGGGAGACTTGTGTTCTTCTACTGGATCCTCTTGGGAGATAGCCGTCAGCTCTTCAGTCACAGATACCTTAGGTTGCAAGCTGTTAATGTCATATCCATGGGTTCAAATGAGATGACAATGGAAGGTCTGTTGTGCCTGTGTCTGGCTTTGCTATTTTGCAATCTATTAAGCACAATTGGCTGGGTGGTGGTGGCACACGCCTTTAATCCCAGCACTGGATAGGGTGGTGAATCACTGAGTTCCAGGCCACCCTGGTCTACAGAGCGCATTCCAGTATATCCAGGGCTACACAGAGAAACCCTGTTTTGAAATACCAAGAGAGAAGGAAGGAAGGAAGGAAGGAAGGGAGGGAGGGAGGGAGGGAGGGAGGGAGGGAGGGAGGGAAAGAAAGAGAGAGAGAGAGAGAGAGAAAGAAAGAAAGAAAGAAAGAAAGAAAGAAAGAAAGAAAGAAAGAAAGAAGAAAGAAAACCAGTTATCAGGAACTCTGAGAGTCAAGCTGCGCTGTCACTGTGGAAAGCGGAAAATATTGGCGAATAAGAAAGGACTGCTTCAAGCCCACACTCTGCTGAGGGTCATTGTTAGTCTGACGTTCTTAGTTACATCAGTGTATAAGTAACTGGTATCCCCCAGGCAAGGCTTCATCATCTGATTTTTTTTCCTTTTTTATATACTAGCTTTCTTTCAGATTGCATACATCTTTCTCTGTTTAGTGTTTTTTTTTTTCCTTACTTAGCTCTACTATGAACTTATTTTTGCATCATTAGACATCATTTATTTTAATGGCAATATGGATGCTGGCTCTAGTTTAAAATTTTTAACCTGATACTATTGTTCAAATACAATTTTCAGATTTGTACCATTTCATATTTATTTAAAAACATTATGAAGAAAGCCATCTGCAGGCTACATTTTGGTTCATATTAGTATTATCTTCTGTAAATATTCCCTAAGCATTACTAGAGTTAAGCAGACACAGTTGTAAAGTTGATGTTTTGCTGGGCTCCTGGTAATTCTGTGGAAGGCTCCTGTGTTTGTACATCTTTGTCACCTCTGTAAATTGTACTTAATTTCTGCAGTTTGGTAAGTGAACAGTTAGTACTTCAGTGCTTTCATTTTGTGATTAAAAAAATTCTAGTGAGGTCGGGTGTTCGCTGCACTTTTATCTGTCTGAATCATTGTAGGCCTTTTCCTGCTTCATAATGAAACTTACCTTTTATTGCTTCTAAGGGGATATTTATTAGCATAATAACAGTCCATTGTTGATCCTGTCTTTCCAAATTTTGCCTTTTCAAATCATTTTAAATGTACATTTATTGTTCTATCGGCAGGTCTGTTTTTCTATGTTGGTTGTTACGCACATAGCCTTCTCTGCATGGACACTTTGTCACTTTCCTCCATATTGTCTGTGACTTGTGGCTTCTACATTTGAATGTTGGTTCTTTCCTTTTGCACACACGTGTGCATCTTTTTTTGTCATCTAGAGAGGAAACCACTGTGCTGTAGGTCTCGTGACTTCTCCTGCTGCTGGCATCAAAACAGTTGACCCCTTGCCTTTGCGTGAAGATTGTGAAGCTGATGGTCTCAGATTTGCTGAGGCTACTCCTCCAGCTTTGAAAACTCCAGATCATCAGACAAACACCTCTGGACAGCCTGTTCAGTGTACCCTGCCTCACTGGTATCCTTCTAGAAGGATCCAGGGCTGCCTACGAGATCCTGAATTTCAGCATAATTGTAAGTGTTTTGGTTTTACACTGATAGACAAGTGTTATAAAAAGGTACTGTATATTGAGAAGTTCTATTATTTAGGCATTTTTCTTCTTCTTTTTTTTTTTTTTTAGTTGATAATGGATCCACCTTTCCCTATTCCTTCCCTCTCTTTCCCTTCCTCTCTTCCTCTCTGCCTCTCTATCTGTCCTCCTTCCTTCCTTCCTTGTTTAATTTTCTTCCTTTCAACAGGGTCTCATTAGGTAGTCTAGGGTGATGGATTTCTGTAAACGGGACAGATCTCTCTTTTGGATACTGAATTGTGCTGCTGCATCCCAGTCCATATTTCACCTTATAAACTAAAAGGTGTATCTCAGGGCCTTACCGAGGCATATCCAGGAGACCTACTACATCTTACCAAGGCTCATAGGAGACCTACTAGGTGCCAGTAGTGTCTCTTACTTAGGCAGGACAAAAAATGCCCCTGGAAATTTGCCTGCTGTTGCTCGGATGTGGAATTCAAGATCTGGTTTCCTTCATTTTTGTTAGACATTGCTGTGCTATTTGTGCCCTTCCTCCATCACACTGGGAATTCTGCAGTTTTTATTCTGTAGCTTTTGGATGTGCTATTTTCTTTCTGCTGGTTTTGGGGTTGTCTGTTCATACCCACTGATTTACACTTACGTTTACAATGATGCATCTTGAGCTGGGTGTCTACCCGTTCATTTCACTGTTACCCCATAGACCTTCTTCCTGGTTCATTGTGGGTTTTTTGTTTTGTTTTGGGGGGGAGGTTGTTTGCTTGTTTGTTTTCGAGACAGGGCTTCTCTGTGTAGCCTTGGCTGGTCTAGACTTGCTTTGCAGACCAGGCTGGCCTTGAACTCACAGAGATCTGTCTGACTGCCTCCTTCTGCCTCCTTGAATGTTGCACCACTCCACCTGGCTGGAAGTTTTCTTAAATAGTAATTTCTTCCTTTTCTGTTTTCTTTGTGCTGCTCCTGTCCCAATGTGTAGGATATAAGGTCACAGTAGCTCTATAAACCTTTAGAGACACAATTTTATCCCATTCCTGAGAAGAGGCAATTATCCAGCTGTGTAAATTTAAAGAAGATTTTTGTTCCCTGGCTGTTGCTTAAAAAAGTTTTCAGAGCCTCTGCTTCATCTTGCCTTCACTACAGCTTGCAGGGAGTCTGAGCATTTGTACCCTCCCCAACACCCGCTCCTCAGGGTGGGGCGGGGACAGACTCGGGTCACTGCTTCTTCTCTGCTCTGCCGACTTTAGACTCCTGGCCCCTTAAGCACATTATATGCTTATCTCTCCATTTGCTTTTCATTCCCCAAACTTAGGTACTTTTTTTTTCCTTTAATTTTCTTTGTTCTGTGGGCTTCTGCTGGCTCTCTCAATATGTACATTGAGTTTTCATCTCAAAGGAACCCTACTATGTCTCTTTGAAGTAATGAAGTTATGTCAGTGTTATCACTGGAAAGAATTCTAGGCGCCTAGTCATAGTTTATGTTCTCACTTCACACATTAAAATCACCCAGTGGCCCTTTGATCAGTCGTTTCATGACTGATTTACTCATTTGCTATCTCCGGTCAGCTGAGTTGGGCAACTTATAACGCACAGAAATGAGGTCTTGTGGCTCAAAGGCTGGAAGGTGCACGGTAGAGGGGCAGCACCTAGGGGCGGTGCCCTCGCTGCACCATCCCCTGGTGGAGCCTCCCTGCTGTGGCCTTGGGTGGCAGGCCGTATATCTAAGATCTAATCTCCTCATGCAATTTCAACAGCGATTCAGTTTCACCATGGATTTTGGAGGGGACAGACCATTCCATTAATATGTGATGGTGGTTAGCTAAAGGATAATGTCTTGTGTCTTCTTCTTTAAGTGAGAAAACCACGGATGGGCAGTTGGCAGTTCCCTCAATACGAAGTCGTTAACAATAAAGGTACGTGGTGGTCAAGATCCGCGTCAGCTCCTCTCTAGTTTGCTTACATTTGTCTAGCATTTCACAGATATGAGTAGTTCCGCAGAGGTTCCTATGGTAGGTCCTCGAGACCTGAGGTCTGGATGCAGTTTCTCCCATCTTACACTGGAGTTGTGTACTGAGGAGTCTTTCCCCAGCAAACCTTGCCTTCTGTCAGCAGAGGCCAGGTCGGCCTGCTTCCACCTGTCTGTCTCAGAAATTTGGTCTGATGTTACATCTCTGTTTTTTCAAATGCCTGAATAATCTTATCCTTTTTTATCTTTAAAAATGTGTAATTAATGAAAATGGACCCTTTTTTTCTTCTGTATAATCTACATTCTGTCAAATGTTTTGATATTAATAAAGGCAAGAGGAGTTTTGAATAATCAAAATGACTTGTCCTATCCTGGGAAGCATGGCTGGAATCAGTAAAGTGGCATTAATTTATGAATTTATTGACTTTGAGTAGGGAAATAAATTTGAACTTAGTGCTCTTTACAGTGGACACTAAGTACATTAGAACATTTTTCTTTTTTAGCAAGTTTTTAACTCTAGTTCAAACTAGAAAGCAAGTTGTGTTTTGAAATACAAATCTGGCCACTTTGAATCTACTTCTGCCTTTTGTCTTGCTGGGATAACAGTTTTTATAAGCAGGTGATGGATTTGCTCACTCATAATGTGGACTTCTCTACCAAGAAAGAGTAGCATATTGCCAGACATTTTCCCCTGACATTAGTGAGACCTTCAAAGTGATATAATAAACCGTGTTAAATTACAGCATTTTAGAGATTTATTTTTATTATTTTTGATAACATGTGTGTGGGCATGTGCACATGCATGCAGGTACCCTTGGGGCCAGAGGCCTGGGAATGCCCTGGAGTCGGAGTTGCTAATGGTTGTGAGTCCCTGCTGTGGATGCTGGGACTTGAACTCATGTCCTCTGGAACAGCAGTTATGTGCTCTTAGCTTCTGAGACACCTCTCCAGCCTCAGCATTTTGCTTTAAATTGAAAACCTTTTGCTCCAAGTAGCTGCACTTCTGAAAGTAGGATGGCGTGTTCCCTGAAAATGCTGAAATCATAAGCTGTGCTGAATTTAATGACGTTATGGGATTTCAGTGATGTGAAAAAGGTTCCCTGTACATGGGCATGTTTGGCCTCTGATAAACTTGAAAAGCAGCCATGAGCTATGATGAGTTAAACTCCATTTACCAGCTTTCTTTTTCCTGATAGACCCAACATTGCTATTGACTTGATGGTTTCAATTTCCTGGTAATAGTACATTAAGCATAGTATTGTTCTGTAGATATTTTCACAAGGATGTAATCCTGGAATTCTCTCATTTCAGATGTAGACAGACTGTCTGATATCTCTACTCGCTCTGCTGCTTCCGGGCTCCGGGCATTCCAGACTTTAGCACGTGCTCAGAAGAGGAAGGAGAATTTCTGGGGCAAAACATAAACCCGCTCTTCTTATCTAGAGAAAGACTGGTATCATCATTTCTTACTGCGTTAAGATTTTCAGAGTGTTTGGGTTTCTTTCTGACACTTCCAACTTAAATTATTTGATTTTTCAGTTGGCTCATCTTACCCAGAAAATTTTAACACAGCTGTATCTAAATTTAACTCTTTGGGAATTCCTTTGCACTTGTCTGAACACAAACGTGTAGATTATGTAGTTTTTCACACATTCCTTTTGTATCAGGTGTTGGGGGTAGAAGTCTGAATGTCATCTGTCCAGAGAATAATCTAAAGGGATAAAATGAAGTTAAAATTAAGAACTCCCAAATTATATTCCCTCTCAGGTTGGTTCTAGGCATTTTAACAGGCATAGATGTTATGAAAGGAATCTGTCGTCTGCGGCCATACCACCCTGAACACGCCCTATCTCATCTGATGAATCTGTCATTCTTTTGACTTTTACTTTAGTGTTTTTATTAGCACCTTCTGTACACAGTTGCAGTGTTAAAATAATTGTACTTTGAAAATCTGGCTGTATATATTTTTCTTATTTATGTAACAGAATTTGCTGAGAGAATATGTATATTTTTGATCTTTTTATGTATTTGTATAATGACTGGTGTATGTTTGAATAATGTCTAATTTTGAGAAATTATTTGTGTAATGGAGAATTAGAATTTTGTAGACATTTAAAAATGAAAATTAAGTATTCTTGGCTTCTCCAGAAAGTTATCATGTGGAAGAAATACTTTCTAGAAGCCGTCGCCTAGAACTGGTAATCAAGCATACTACTTTTGTAGCTGGCAAAAGCAGTGAAACTGGGTCTACAGTATTTTTTTCTGTACACATATAGGGTTTTAAAAGTAGATTCATTAAAAATTTCACATCAACTTTGTGATTCTATTTTTTCATTTCTAGGACATAGTTAACTGTTGCTTACAGATCAGAATAAAGTTAAGTTTCTACTAAGAATGGGCTTTTGTAAACATATTACATACAGTGTAAAATACTACATGTAAACTGCTTGTTATGGTTTGGGTTTTTCTTCTTTTTTAGTCAAGAGAGAATCTCCGTATGTTCTAAGGCTGGCCTCAAACTTACAATACTTCTGTATTAGCCTCCTGAGTATTGGAATTACAGGCATGTGCCATCTTGCCTGAAAAGGTTTGGATGGTCAGTGACATCCCTCAGATATCGTGTGTCGAAAGCCCATTTGATAGCACTATGGGGAGATGTAGGGGACTCCCGAAGGCGGGGCCTAGTTGGAGGAGTCAGCTTGCTGGAGGGTGCCTTTGAGGGGTATATTTTGTCTCCAAGTGTTGAACTTTGCCAATCTATGCAGATATGTGAGACCTGGGACTTGACCTTAAAGAGTGAGGCCAATTACAGTCTGATGCTGCAGACAGCTTCAGGTTCAGGGTACTTTTTCACGCGAATGTAATAAGGAAAGTGATGATCCAAGGAAGGTGGTTTGAGTTCAGAAAATACATGATCGGAGAAACATGTAAGTAAACACTGGTAAGCGCATACTATTAACAAAGCGGCCCTTTCCCAGAACCTTCGCAGGACAGACCAATTCAAAACGTAATTGTCTGGCTCGTATGATAGGTTATATCTGGGAAAGCATGAAAGCAAGGCAGAAGGCTGTATCCAGATTAAAGGCACACTGAGGACAGCACTCACTCCACCAGATTGGGTGCTGTAGCTTTGTTTTGATGTCTAACAAGCATAAGCATGTCTTATAAGTTGATTGTAAATGTGTAATAGAGGAGGCATGAAATCACGTCCAAGAACAAGTATGGGAACAAAATGCACCTGAGGTGGAAGGCCCTCTGCCTTTTTTCCTGGAGTCTCTCACTGTTCCCCAAGGCATTGCTCCCCATGTGTCATTCTTTTGACCATGTTCTGACACACAGGCCCTGGCCTTCATATTCTGTGTGTCCTGGCTGCCATGAGGTAAGTTCTTTCTTCATCATGCCTGCACCTCCATCACCTCCATGATGTTCTGCCTTGCCGTGGGCCCAAAGCACAGGAGTACCACGGACTACCACGGACTACCACGGACTGTGACTGTGAGCCAAAACCAGTTTTTACTCTTTCTTTTTTTCTTTTTTCAGGTATTTTGTTGCAGTGACAAAGTAGACAATAGAGTAGTGAAGACAAAATATTCAGACTATCAGTGCCCTTGGTTTAGGAAACAAGTTCTGAAGCACTTGATTTGATGAAAACTACTTTTGTAGATCATTGGTTTACAATATATTGTCAAATACTTTATATTGTTATGAAATTGTGAAGAAATATAATGGATATTTGCTTATGGATATTTGCCTGAATTCCAGTGACTTTTCAAAGAATTTGCTCATGAAAATTTACTGAGCCTCTAAATACAGAAAAAAAAGAGCTTGGATTCGGGCACCACCCAGCTTTCAGTGCATAGATTAGTGTCTGTCTGTACAGATGTTCTCTGAGGCTTGAGTTTCTTTTTGAAACTCACTGTCCCTAGGAGTTCTGAGGTGTTAATTTTCTTCCTCAAAGGTTGACTCATTTTGTTGGTTCAGAAAATTTTCAGTGACTGACAGTAGATCTGTAGTACAGCACAGACTATAATGTTTGGGTACACCCATTACAATGAATCAGGCCATAAGAACTAGATCTACCAGCTATCAATTGCTTTAGGTATGGTTTTCATGACACTATTCTCTTTGGGTGATGCTTTATATCTTCAGTATATTAAAGACTACCCCTAAAAAACTACCCTTAAAAACTCAATCAGTAGCTCCAGGGAGATAATAGTTTTAGGAATCATCATTGTTTCAGTAATAGAAATAGCTCCTTGAAGGGCGTGAGTTTGAACTGATGAGTTATGTTATGTTAGAACAGGCCATGAAGTTCCTAGTATTTAGAAAGAGCTGTGAATGTGAATTCATTTTAAATCAATTTTATCTGGGCATATGTTAACTGATATTATTACAGTTAGATCTTGACGAGTTTGAACAGATAAACGCATCTGAAACGAGTGCATCAAAAAAGGAAGTCTGTGTATTTCAGTCCCATGTTTCCCGATTTCCTTTTGTGATCATGTTGCTTCCACTGCTGGTCCTCAAAGCAGCCATGACCCTGAGTTTAGAAAATGTTTGTCTGGGTTTCATTTATATTTTTGAATTCATTCATGTTTTGGTGTGCACATTTCCTTTTTAAGTTATTTGCTTGCTGCAAACTTTTGGATTGCTTACAGTCTGAGGCTGTAAACAATGTATTTGCTGTTTGCATTGTGAGTCCTTGTGGGGAGCTATGTTTTTTGCTCTTTTTCAGAAACACTCCTGCCTTTATTTATCTTTAGTATAATTTTCTTTTTGCCCCACTATGAGACAAGGGTCTCTCTGTGTAGTCTTGGCTGGCCTGGAACTCAGACATGTACCTGCCTCTGCCTTGGATTACATATGTGCCACCATGTCTTGATTTGGTATCTTTTTTTTTTTTTTTTGAGCATATGTGTTAAAGGTACAATATAGGTACAACATAGCCAGATGGGTATCATAACCTGGTGGTGTGTTTTTGTCTAAATTAGCATTTCATAAGCCAGACTCAGGAGTGAATATTTGAATGTAAATCACTATAAAAGGTTTTTCCCAAATGAGCACACCTCTCCTCTCTTCTCTCTGGCCCTGCATTCACTCCAGGAGCTGACATTCTCCGTGTTCTCAGTACAGATGCATACGTGTGTATGCGTATTTGACAAAGTTTGTATGTTAATTTTTGGTCTCATTTCTGGATCCCTTTGGGAGTCTGAATTCCAAGTTAAGAACATTTGAAGAACAGGATAAATATGTTTGGTCTTTTGGTGGGAAACATCATGCAATTTAAGCAGAATCATGTTCACTTTATAAATAAAACAAATTTAATGACTTGGCTCAAGACCCCGTTGGCTAGTGAGTTAAATCTAGGTCTTCTCACTTGAATTCCACCTACACTTCCTTCTCTGAAGTATTTGTGCTCCAATTTAATATCTACTATGAATCAGGTATTTCTAGTTGATTCATTTTGGAGTTAATTTTTCTCTGGCTTCTTGGAAGAGAAAATATCTTTTTTTGAGTCAGGAAAACAAGAGAATGTGGGCACTGGTTAGCATACAAATGGACTCAACCAAAATGAAGGTGGGTTAATATACAAAGTCAGTTTGTCCTTCTATAGAACAGTATCAAAGCTAGCCTTCCCAGGAGGCTAAAGGATGCATGGGGCACCTTTGCAGTGCTTGAGTACACATATGGTAGATATGGCATAGTTTCAAAAGTATTGTTCTTTCTGTATGTTTAACACAGGAGCAGATAGTCTAAAATGGTAGATGAACACAGAGTGGTTCGCAATGGATTTGGGAACACGCTTAGGGTTCTTGTGTGCTGGGCTGTAGTCTAAAGGTGTTTTTAGGGCTCAGTATTTGTCAGGCTGCCATAATAATCATTGTTTCCCACAAACAGCACGGCCCCAGCTATTGTACATCTCAAGCCACACCTCTGATGCCACATCGTAGCTCGCCCCTCCAGCTCACCTTGCAGATTAAAAGCAGGCCAATGGGCTCTTCAGCTTTATGCTGCTGGGCTTTCACGGTAGTGCTGACCCTGACTAAAGCTATAAATACCTATTTCCGATGGTGAGTATAGGCACAGAAAGACCCATCCTCTCCTCACCCTTTCAGAACGAAGCTTTCTTAGTAGTCTCATTTCTTCCCACTCTGGCGCTCCCAAGCAAGGGGCAGCTCCCTAGTCCTCTTAGCCCTGTGAAAGCAAGGAGCTGCTCTTTGACGTCCAGTTTCTCCCTGCCAATGGCTCATCCACCAGTATAATTCATGGCTTTGTGACATCACAAACTCTGTCAGACCATATGCTTGGAAACAGTGAGAAATGAGGACTTGGGGGGGACACTGAACTACCTTTGACAGTCAAGTTCTGATGTTGAGGAGATTTACATCAAGCCAAAGCCATGACTATTCAGATTATGCTGTGGAATTTCTCCATATATTCTATGTCTGAAAGTATGTTAGGGCAAGCTTACAGGCCCCTTGTTAAGTATTTAGTAAATCTCTGAGTGGGTTGAGAAACTATCCATAGTTTGAAACTGCCCACATCAGCAAGCCATGTAAATCAGAGCATTTCTGATCTCCCAGAGAGGTAGTATATGAACCCCAGTGTATTCTATTGATCACTGCTGTTTTATCCATGCCATTTGCCTGAGGGAGAGAAGACTCATTCCAGGAGATAAGCAGCAGCCGGAATGTTTGTTATACCATACATCCTTTGGCATGTAAAAAAAAAAAAATCCTTGCTTTGGTTTTCTTTCTTTGGTGAAATCCAGCTAGAAAATAGAACAAGCCACAGGTGGCAAATCAGTAGACTGCCAAAGGACCATCCATGTTAGACCTGTGGGCCAGCCCAGAGATGGGCCTAAGATTCTGTATGTATAACCTTCTAGATGGCTAAGATATTTTGGGACCCACTGGCTTTGGGTTTAAAATAGCCTGTATTCTAATCACAATTTCTCCTTGAACAAGTCTATTCAGCTTTGAGCCTGCATTGTTCATCCTGCCAATGAGCTCATTTAGTCTGAAGGTTAAATGGTGGAATGCATGTAAAGGCAATTCACATATGCTGTTCAAATGTTCAGATATTCAAAATACTTTATTGGCAAATTTTTATTAAAACAGCAGAAGGAAAGGGCTCATTTCCGTAGCACTCAGGATGAGGCTAGTAAGCAGGAGGCACAGTGCTCTAAAACAAAACTGTGGCACATCTCAGCACAGATCTATCTTTTATGACCTACATTCAGCTCACACAGAGTCAGTTTTGGCTAGAGACGTTGAAATAATTTGTCTATTTCCGTTATGT